GCGTCTTTGGCAATCAGGGAGTGTTAATGTTGTATGCACAAGGTATTGAATATAGTGTAAATCATTCAGAGCGTCCCTGGATGAGCACAGTCGCGTGCCGTGGCACGTTTGATTGTAGCTTCTAGTACTATAGCCCTTTCGCTCCGCCACGCTTCTTCGGCTGATGCAGCCTGCTCGGCGGGACGCGAAGGGCTATAGTACCTAGAGCTAAGTTTTGATTGCCTGTATTACCTAACTTCGCAGAATTTATTTTGTTGTATATATACTGATTTTTACAGGGGATGGTAATTAATTCATGGACAAGTAAGTAAACTATGTGTCGAGGAGTGTAGTTCCAACACCTAAGCCAAGAGATATTTTGATCAGACACACCCAGGTATTTATTCTGGTAGCGGCGAGGCATGTGTATAGTTAGTACTATAATAACATTGTGTCATCTCACTTGAAATAACCAGTGCATTAAGAAAATACTAATAATTTATCAGTATATTAACAACTTATTTGAGGATTCTTCATAACTTACTAGAATGAAAGATTTCATGCATGATTTAAATAAAATATTGTTATAGTCTATCAGAAAACTGAATTCTGCACTATGATTTAATGTGCGGCTGGCTGTTGACCCAGGTCAATCGGTATGTGGTTGCTTGAATGCCCAGACAGATAATTTCCTATTTCTGCCACGCTTCCTTCCACTTCTTTTTAAACCAGCATCACCGACACGACCTGTTCCAAATGGTAATAATATTTCCATTGCAGTTCACCAATTATTTTTCGGCAAGGGTGTATCAAAATCTCTTAACTACAAAGAATGCCTTCTTAGAAACGACATCAGTTTTACCTTTTCTATATAATAGACTTCCAGGCAGACCGCCAGATGAGCTATTTGGTCTTTTTTAAAAGAGGTTTTTTGGTTTTCAATATGAGAAGGAAAATGTCAGGACTTCAGCAAGATGCGACGTAGAACTTCGTCACACAAGCAACCACCTCACTATCCATGTGATGATGTTAGTTAAAAATGCTTATTAACAATATTTTTTCGACTATAGGTGTGTTGACTATTAAAGGTCTGCAATAACCTTATCTAATCCAATTTGTTACTGTAATTATTAAATGATGGAAATGATTTTTATAGTTCTTGCAGTAGAGTTGTAACTTTCTGTGTGATCGTGAAATCCTTGGGTGGCTGGATGCAATGCTATGTTGTTGGTGTTTTAGTGGCTGTAGATTATAACCAAGTTCCTACATATAAACTTGTTGTAAGCTCTCACTGCGTAATTTTTGCAGTGGTGAGACCTAACCTGGTGGCTGCATGGGGAGCTTGTCTACCGCTCAACATGTCGAGGATCTTTGCCCGCAATTGTGCGTGGAATCCTCACAGACTCGGTAGCAAGCCACCCACGAGTGCAAAGCTGCAGCACTTGCTTCTCATGTTCTGCTATCTGAATGCGAGGAACAGGATGACTCAACACCTGGAGTCTTACTCAGGGGCCTGTATTCAGCATGTGGCCAGATGAAGAGACCGAGCGTGCCGTGAATCATGGTGAGTCTGTTAACATTTGTACCAGTTGCCTATTTTGACAAACGTCTGCAAAAACAGTACAGCTTGAAACCTTCTATTAGGCATTCTGACTTGTCCAGCGGTGAATTTATAAAATAGTAGTGTACGTACAACTCATATTTCTACAGGCTTATCTTGTAACATGTGGGGTTATTCCTAAAGCAATAATAAAAGTATTTCGTTTGCAAAAATTTGTTTAGGAACCAAAGGAATTTTTGCTGAGACTAATCGGCACTGTAAGTGATATGTTATCAAGTGCTAAAAAATACGAATATATTATGTTAAATAATGTGTCTCATGAGTAGGTGATTATTCAACTGTTTAATGT